CTTGTGGTAGTATCATTAGAAATCATGTATTTCCCAACACCTACTACCATAAGGACTATATCCCTAAGAGCGGCCTCCTCTTCATTGCCTGTCTTTGAGTGGATCCCCACCCCTTTCTTTAGACAGTTGGTCAGCATCATGTTTTGAGTTCTTTATCCAAACTATCTAAGCTTTAACTCTTCAAGTATAAAGAGCTGCCTAATTCACAAATTCACCTGGGGTAATTTTCAGTCATAACCTGTTAGTGCCATTCAAATATTTCAAGATTTGAAAATATAATGTCCAGATTGAACTTTAATTCAGTGTTGCATAATTCTCAGAATTTACTTACTGTGATAGTTAATATATTAGCTACTTTTCTGTTGCTGTGATAAAACACTGTGACCAAGGTAATTTACAGAAGGAAGAGTTCATTTTGCTAATGGTTCCAGAGGAATAAGAGTCCATCACGGCTGGCAGGCATGCCAGGAGGTCACTAGAGCAGAAACCTGAGTGCGCACATCTCAAGGGAACACAGGAAGCAGGGCAAGACAAACTCAAAATGGGGCAAGATTATGAACTCTCAAAGCTTCCTCCAGTGAAGCGCTTCCTTCAGCAAGTCCATACCCTAAACCACTGCAAAGCATACCTCTTCCTGGGACAAAGTATTCACATGCTTGGAGCCTATTGAGGACATTTTCATTCAAACCACCAGTTTCTGTTAATTTCAACTTCACAGGATCTGGAATCACTTAAAAGACCAACCTCTAGGATTACCTGAAGTAGAAGACCCGCCCTGAACATCCATGGGATGATGTCCCATGAATAAAAAAGAAAAAGCAAGCTAAACACCAGCATTCATCTCCCTCTACTTCCTAACCATGGGTATAATGTGACCAGCTGCCATGACTTCTCCCCCATGATGAACTTTACCCTGCAGCTTAAATAAACCCTTCAGTCCTTAAATTGTTTTCGTCAGGATATTTTGCAGCAACAAGACAAGTAGCTAACATACTTAGAGAAAATGCCCCACAAGCAATATTTTAATATCTGCTAAAACAAGGCATATTTTAATGCATTGAATGAATTTTAACCCTCTGTAACAATGACAACAACAATAAGAAAGAAAAGAAGATGCTCAGAGATCAGCAGACCGCCAAAGAGTGCAGGGTTCTGGCCTCCCTCTGGCCTCCAGCTACCAGAGGGCCTGAGAACCCAGGGGACAGCCTGACAGCTCCTGCATCCTGCCTCCACATGGTGATGAGCTTCCTCTAATTGCACCAGGCCATACCATCCTCCTACCCAGGATTTTGTGAGGCCCCTCCCAAAACCGCAGAGCAGATCTGGCTTTGGTGGGCTAGGGATGAGATCCTAGCAGACAGCCTGAGAGGGTGGGTTCCTACCTCCATTGGGGAAGCTGCTCAGATCTCAGCAGACCACCAGAGAGTGCAGAGTTCTGGCCTCCCTCTGGC